AATTCCATGAGCCATGAACTCGTTGATATTTGAGAAGGAACTTTCAAAATGATTGCGAACAAGTGACTACTTTGGTTAAGACAAACTTCAAATTTTGTCATCGCTAGACACCAGGCTATGGTGTAGTAGGACACTAATTGTGCATTAGGAACAATAAAATGTGCTGTAGCATTAACGAACATGTGCACTTTATTATTATAAAAGACGATTTAACCGTTCATGAAATATCAATAAAAATAAATAAATTATAAACATGACGAATTGTTTGAATATTAGGTTAGTGAAACCGATGTTGACTACTTCCACGTCTTTGGATTCATTATCTGCTTCATCAAAATCAATAAAATGAGCGTGGAGAGTGTGGGGTGAAGCCTCCTTGTACATATATTTTATTTGTGAAGTTGGAAAAAATCCTTACAACCTGAACCTAGACACTGAACCTAATTTAGTATATTGTTTATTAGAACAACATAATTTTAATGAATAAGTTTTACTATAACAGTACGTAGTGTAACATGACACAATTGAGGTTGTGATATAAATTATTTAATATAGTGGTTAATTTTGTGTAATTCAATGTAAATATATGGTAAAATATTGATAAATGAAGAAATTACGGGGGAGGGATAAGACCACTACACCATCCCTCCCTTGTGCGTCTCACTGATCACTATGGACACAATTTAAATATCTAATAATAATAACTAAAAAATAATAGAAAATATTCTAGTAACTATACGATACATTCGATCTGCGCATATACGAATATGTGACACTGCTTCAAATAATTGTTGTATTTTCTTGATTCAAAATGGAATGGGAAAAGGTTTGTCGATTTATTTCGTGGGATTGCACTTAATGAATAACCTGTTCACGTTTAGTCAGATTCAGTGGTGTAACCAGGATTGGTTTTCGGGTGGATTTGGAAAAAATAAGCATTTTCTGCAGGTGTTTGGTAGGGATAAGGAAGTAAGATTAAGTTAGGTTTATGAATAAAATATTTAAATTATAAATTAAACTATATAACTTCTATTTCATATTGTAATACCATAAAAAAAAGTATTATACAATCGACTGTCGAGAAATTGTAGTAGCAAGATTTTTGATGTTTTTAAGTTGAACGAAACGTTACAAAACGTTCCATATTGCCATGTTATTATTGTTATCAATTATAGTACGAATAATATTCATATTTCAAATCAATCAGTCATTTCGCGTCTTCGAGATAAACCATTTTTTTTCCTATGTAGAATTTGTAAAAACCACAGAAAAATGTTGGAGGGTGGTCATAACCCCCAAACCCTACCATTAGTTGCTCCACTGGTCTGATTATATTGGAGTATTTTAATAATTTGTTTGATCTATTAACACGAAGTGATGACTGGTAGGTACGCGAATTCATTAAAGTTGACATAAAAGTATATTAATATGAAAACCAGTTTTCAGAGCCATTAAGTGAAATTATATAAAGTTTTTCATGCAAATTTTATGTTTTCTGATAATCTAGAAATAAAGTCAAGAATGTCAATTTTTAGATGAAAACTAATGTAGAAATTTTGATATATTCAATGACTTTAAATTTGTAGTGGGTTGAACTGAAAAAGAAAGCTATCAGTTTCATTAAAATTAAATTGTTAGAAAACCGTTTTCAACGTATTAAAAATAGCCAAAATGCGTTATTTTATAATTGTCAAATTGTTCATATAGTGGGATAAACATAAAGAACGTCGAAGCAATGTATTTAAGAAGTAAATTTTAACACGTAAGATATATGCGCAAAACTATTTAATTTATTTGGTAGGTAATACAAATCATATGATTTTACAATTTGTTATAGTAAATACTAATAATGGTAAACTTCAATTTCATATGATAGCTATAGTTAGCAATCACTGTTAAATATATGTGTTATTAAATTTGTTGAGAAAAAAAATGTCACCACACATACCAGGTTGAGCTAAATTTAATCTAATAATCACTTAAATGGACACGAAATATGTTGTACGCTGAATGGGTGAGTCGTCACACTTGGACGAAAAATAAATTCTGACCCGATTACTTCGGACCCCACAAATGACTGATCAGTTCTTAAGTTTTTACCCGTTGATAGATGTAGGAATTCTCTGAGAATTTTGGACGGCTTGACAAGAAATACGGAAGGTGTAATAGATGGTGTTGTATGTACGAATGAGAGAGTGTGTGTGAGAGAGAGAGAGAGAGAGAGAGAGAGAGAGAGAGAGAGAGAGAGACAGACAGAGAAACGGATGTCTTGCAGGTGATTAAATCGATTTTGACGGCTAATAACGACCTGCCGCAACCTATTTGTGTGCGGAATACATCTAATAAATCGAATTAATTGTATTCCATTATCTAGACGGTTGTCAATAACTATTGGGAGTACATTTTATGATATAATACAAAGTAATGAATATAATTTTCTAAAAATATTAATTTATTCGAGATTAATGGGCTAATTATTAAAATTATTGTATATTAATATCATATATAATATATAATATTATATATTATAATATATCATATATAATATATAATATTATATTACATTATATTATATTGTATTATATATCACTACCAGAAATGTATCAATCAATGATTTAAAAATCTTGAAATTTTATAGAATAGTAATTGTATGAGAAAAAAAGTTGATTTTAATATAAACTCAAAGAAGAAAAATCGTATCGGATAGCTGTAAGAAAGTTAAACACAAACATATCAATCGAATAAAAATAAAAAAAATTTAAAAATATAGCTTAATAGATTTTTAATCTGAAATATCACAGATGTATTGCATAGCTATACTGAAACGGTTCTCTCACTATGTTAGGTACATATCAATTTATGACTAAATCTAAATAATAAAGATATCTTATCACTCAAATAATTATGCTATACCAAATTTGAAGAAATAGATACAAAAATTCAATAACGAATTTCTAAGATTATTAATTATCAGTAGTATGGACAATCACGTTTCATTGCCGCAGAAAACATCATACATCAATGTATTAAGTTAGGAGAATACCGCTGTTGTAAATCCTGTACGAAAAATCTCAAATCCATCTGCCTACTTTAGCAACAATATTGACAACGAATCAGCCTTGAATGTACGAGTATAATTTTTAAAAAGTCAAATGCTCACAAATAATATCAAAAGATGATAACAAAAACAAAAGGTAATAATGTAAAACACGTTTTCATCTTTTGGTACAGCCAAAATGTCCAATAATCACACACTGAAAGCATTTTAGGCTATTATTCTACTACAAATTATCTGATATTCGTAGTATGTTTCGAATCTATGTCCACTCAAAGACTTAAGAATTTCTTCGCTCTAAATCGTCTCTCATCAATGGTATAAAAAAATTACTCAAATTCAAAATCCATAAAAATAACGGTCTAGTAAAGCTTCAGATATAACTGTTAAAAAAAATCGCCTCTTCTTTTAATAATATAATAATATAAACAAATAATATAATAGGTATCGAGGGTTACACGAAAAAAGTAATCCTCGAAAATTTTCACTGCCCAAGTTGAAAAATCTGAACGCCGTATAAAATGTTTTCACGTCAAAAATAAATAATCTATACATATAAAATCCAAATACCACTCACTCACTGATCGCTATATCTCAAAAACTACGCAACGTACAGACTTAAAATTTGGAATACAGATTCTTCTCATATTTTCACCATGCGTTAAGAAAGGATCTTCTAAAATCTTGCGTTTTAGTGGAGTAATTAACAATTATAATTATTCACCGCCAATACGTATTGTGCGGCACGTCGGCCCGCGAGTTTCCAGCTACCCACAACCTATTCTTTTTGTCCGTCGTCGTGTAGATAATAAATGTTCCGAGAAGTTTATCGATAAAAATAATCTCATGCATCGCGCGTACACTTATACTCATATTATATAATTTTATAACCACTAACAGTTACACTAAACTTGGCTTTAAATAGTGTAAAGTAATAATCCATTAAAACCTATGTCACGGCCAAGAATGTTCCGTGCGAACCCGGTTATTAAGCTAGTATAATCATATAAAATAAATTTATAAATTGTATTATATATGGTTTATAATAAATATATTTAATTACAATATCTAAATAATACATGCAATGATAAATTTAAAATGACTCGCGTAAAATGTTATAAGCATTAACAGAAAAATTACGTGAATGATGTAACGAATAATAAAATGTATTGCACCATGATATATTTTATTATGCTGTATTACATTGTTATACCAATGTATTGTTTTGAAATTTAATCTGACAATCCTGCTTGTTATCTGAGAATTTCGAGTTTGTTTACTTGGACGTTTTCAACTTAAGAAAAACTTCGTTTACAGGATTCACAATTTTAACGTTTTTTCATTCCGATATTAATTTAAAATTTATTATTTTTTTCATCATAGAAGTTGTGTGAGTTAAACATGGGCACACGGATATAAGGTTTTTTTTTCATAATTTTTTCATTTCATTATATACCATGCACTTGAACAACAGGTAAATAGTTGTAAGAACTGGTAATAAATGTTTCTAACCAGGGGGGTAGTAGGGTTCAGGATCAACCTTCGAAATATAATCTTAAGACAAAATTATACGATTTTAAATGTCTATCATATTTGAAGTATTAAAAACTGCTGGTCAAAAATCATATTTATACTCTAACCCCTTAAAAAAAAAAAAAAATATTTCGTTGGCTATGGCCTCGGTCGTGGAATAAGTGCATGAGCTGAAACAAAGGAATTGTTTCGTGAAATGAGGACCATTTAAACGCGTAATTCTGCTGTTTCAAACGAGTACAAAACCGGTAGAGCGTCTTAAAAGGTAATAGCATTGATGTTTACGCCTCCTCGGAGAACGTAACCGTGGTATAATATCGGGTGAACCACGCACACCACGAACTCGCACACCCTAACAGGTTTTCGGAAACGACCACGGTCTAATTATGAATTTTTTCTTTTTATCTCGCAGGTGTGCGGTCGGTTCCGGCCACGGACTGGCTTCATTGCTGCGGACCCGCGTTGACGAGCGGCGGATGCGGCGCGTACACAGCGTCGGCCGATGTGGATCCCGATGATGGCTGCGGCCGCACAACACGACAGGGTCGTACTGTCACCGCGACGGCTTCACCACCACCACCATCACCATCAACGACAGCAGCAGCAGCAGCAGCTCACCCCGTCACCGGAACGCGACGGACATGGCCGGCGCACTTATCTGCATATGGTGCCAATGTTGCCGCCCACGGCGCCCTCGGTAAGCAACCGCTAGCATCGGCTATTTTACGTTCTGCCGCCCGAATCGCCACTTAACGGCTTTTTCACGCGGCAGGCGTATTGTGCCAAAAATAATAAAATCAAATAAAATCGATGAAAGGTGTTGAACGTGCGGGTGCGTTTAAATACGGGAATACGTTACTGAATGTGTGCGTACCCGTTTATCGTCCATGATACGCCTACATCATTTTTTCCCCTCTAATCACCTGAACGAACAGTGTTCATAATGTATTGAATTGTTTAAAATTCAAATTGACTGCATAAAATATTAATAAATCATTATCATCTATACCTAGTGCATGTGTACAATCAGCGATGAATTCCTGTATTTAAACGGTCCTGAACGTGCCCGCCGTTCGGCTACCGGGTAACACTTTGGATGCTCTCGAATTCACTCTAAACTAACATAGTGCTGTACTACATACCGTACACTGCCTATGTATTGGGTGCTACCCAAGTGGTTTTTCCAGTAAGCACTACTGCTGGGCTACACGACGATTTCTTTCCTGCGGTTTTCAACCGGCGCCCGAGGTCGAAAACCACGCGATCGCAGCAGGCTCGTAGCCAGACCAAAGCATCAGGTGTGGCAAACCAAATTTTAGAGGAACAATTTAGATTCAGGGATGCAATGCCACCTTGTGCTGTCCCTTGCCTTCTCGTGGCTACGGTCCTGGATTGCAAACTGTCATTTTCTGTCTCGCTGAGCGTCCACCGATGTAACGTAGTGAGTGACGTCGCAAGTAGCATGCGTCTAAAGCCGACCCACCCCATACACGTCAAACACATTTTTCTGTGTTTGTGCAAACATTTTGATCGTATACAGCAGTGGTGGCCAAACTACGGCCCGCGGGCCAACTCTGGCCCGCCATCATTTAATATCTGGCCCGCGAAAGTCTTCTATATTACAGCACTTATTTGTATAACTGTAATATTTTGCATTTACGTAAAAAAAAATTTAGAATGCATTTTTTTTATGGCCTGCGATAAAAAAAAATTGTTTTTTATGGTCCGAGGAAAAAAAAGTTTGGCCACCACTGGTATACAGTATAGTTTGAGTAGTTTTACAATCAGTTGGACATCTACGGAGTATAGTTTGACAAGCAGTGGTATCGAAAATCCCCAGATGATCGAAAAAACGTTTGTATTTATAAATGTAGATATTTCAAAGTGGACAATAGTCTATGTTCCGTCGTGATTAGATCCCTCGTGTGGCTACAGTTTTTTTTTTCAATTAATGGTCTATTTTCAAATAGCTCGCCAAACGTATCCTCATCTATTCATAAACAGTTGCTATAGCCAACGGTTGAACTCATTTTAAACTCTACAACCATACGATCACGGTTAAATTGAACTCCCTTCTTCAGCTATTCCTTCGTCTACACCTTCTGTTTCTTTTTCGCTTTACTTTTTTCTTCTCCCTTAAACAAGCAATCAGTACCACAGTACAAGTAGTATCATGGTCAACAAACATTTAGAATTTATACTGAATATACTTTTTGACAAGATCAAAAATTAAACTAAAGTTGGTCCAAGTCATTGGAACGTGTGTGTTCGAAGTTTGGATAAATATCATGTTTGCACAAACACAGACGTTTCCTGAATTTGTTTGACGTGTACGTGGTCTTACAACGAGACTTTGTGTCAAAACAATGTAACCAATAGATGTAACGCAGACTAAACTAATACGACTACGTGTCGACTAACTGATACGTGGTCGTCATTCGAATGCAGCATATTTCATTTTATGCCACTTGCTATATTGTTTCATATTGTTCAAGCGCTTGGCAATTACTTTCGTTTATTCATTGTATTTATTTTGAAAACTTTGAAAGTTTTAACTTTCTAAAACAAATGATGATTCCAATTTCAATAAAGATTTTTTTTTTTTTTGTTATGATTGAAATCAATCCACGTTTAATTTATTTATCTTCTTCCCAGTACGAATAAGCCCAATACTGTTTTTTTATTTTTGCTATTATTAGCATTATTAACATTTATTAAGTTCACTATAATGCTAAAAAAAATTTTCGCCGTCCAACGTCGAAGACGCTTTGACAACTGAGTTGGTGGACCGGTGCTATTAGTTACAAGGGTAGGCGTTGCGATACACCACTCATTATTTGATTGTTACAACTTTGTTACTCCACTCGTCACGCTAACTACGTCACGTTACTTACGTCGCGCTAAGGCGAAGACTATATGGTTAACCTTGTAGTGTTGCGTGATACTTACCGAAAAAAGTCTACCGTAGCGCAGTCAACCGCTTAAGTCATCCGGCAAACTGCTAGATGGTTGAATCTAGGGGGGGAGTGGCACCACCGTTAGAGAAAAATACTATTAACAATGAAGTATAATTGGAAGATCTAATAGTGGATCATAAAAATAGATATTGATGGTTTTAGCACGTCGTTGTTACGTAATTTTTTTGGGTGTCCGATCTCCAATCTCAAGACGCCCCTAAAAACACGCCTATGATCGACCGTGTTATATGATTTCTCCTGTAAAGCGTCCAGACTGTGAACCTGATGCCGTATCCACCATTTCACGGCGAACTGTACGCACGCCTACTGCAATTCGTATCCACCCCCAAGGTGTTCGAACGCTGACCGTCATGGTTACGATTCACGACGGCCGTGCGAACACGTGGCCGAAACGAACCGGACCGCGCGGGTTGTACCGGTACACGCGGACGGGGTAGTAGCAGTGTCATCCTTAAGAAAATTACAATTCGAAATAAAAAATAATATATGCAATAGAAATAATATGTACTATAGTTAAACAGTCTTGCAAGAAAAATTATAATTATACATTTTTTATTTTATGTTGATCTTCAAAAATTTGCCGCTCCGGGGCAATTACCTCCCCTTGCCTTCCGTTAAACTCAGACGGGATAGCAGTGTGGGTTCCGCGCGGAATTTCCCGCTGCCATACATACCTTTGGGTAAATCGTTAGCGCAGATTCCGCATGCTTCGCTGTAAATTATTCCTATGAAATGCCATCGTATGGCGCGGCGACGGAGGAATAGGTGTTACTTACCAAGCAACTCTGTTCCTCTTCCGCGATCATGCCCACTCGGATTGGTCGCGTGGTAATGTATCCATATGTAAGGTTCTCTCTTCGAAGAGCGTGGTGACTTGACCCTGACTTTTTTTTTGGCCGTCTCACGTCTTAACAAAACGTTTACCAGACGGATACAATTATCAGCTGTTCCGCAGACCATAACTAAGGAATCAATACGTAACCGTGCAAACAGGGCTGGGCAGTATCTGAGATACAATTGTATCTTGTATCTAGTATCAAGATACATTATTTTAATATATCTGGTACCGTAGATTTAAATATTTTTTTAATTTGTATCTAGTATCTTTTCATGATTTAAGATACTAGATATAACCTATTGTTATGTAATAATAATTATTAATAATTTAGATTAAAGTTTTTCACGCCGAAGGCATTCACATGATAAATGAACTATATATACAATATTTGCTCATAATATTTTATTACATATAACCTTTATTATGAGCAAATTTTGTAATCAGTAAGTTACATAAATCCAGTTTATCGGCAGAATGTTTTCTTTATTTTATCGCGCTAAACATTTATTTTAGACTATAAGATTGTGCGATGATCAGTTCATATTTTCTGTCTACGCGGTATTTGTGTAGTGTCGTCCGATTTTAAGTATCTATTACTAAAAACATGGATAATAATGTAATTGTTAATATTCCAAAATCCTTAGATGAAACATTCTATACAATAATAAATTTTGATGAAATAATGAATGTGAATTGAAAATTGAAATTGGTCTCTTTTAAAGGTAACCAGGAATTTATTTTATAACATGGAATATAATATATAAAAAACTTTTACTATAATACTACTTATCATTTTTTTAAATTTAAACATTTAATAGTTAATAAATAAACATTGTAATTTATAAGTATATTTATATTATTTTTTATTGTACCTAATGTAAATGAATAAATAAATAAATAAATATTGATAAATGTATAAAGTATTTTATATATATCTCAGCTACCTGTATCTTGTATCTATTATCTTTAAAAATATCGAAGTATTTTGTATCTTATATTTAGATACTTTTTTTTAGGTATTTTTTGCTCAGTCCTGTGTGCAAACTAATGATGGGAATAATCTAATGGAATAATCGAATGATTTTAATAATCCAAATAATGGTACCAGATATATTTATCATAAGAAAATTAATTTAATTATTCGAAAAAATTAGGTGTTTTACTCATTACCCATACGGGTACTAAATTAAGAAATCCACTGTCCATTAGTATTGTATTATTATTTATTTTATTTTTTAATCATTAGTATAATTCCCGGTATCGATAATCGCCACACTAATTGGTTTAATACGTATACATATTTGGATTGAAAATGCATTTCACTTTCACGCTTATAGATAATCATTTGATCATTTATACAACTGGTTTAAGCAGTTAAATCATGAATCATTCGATTATTTAGTTTTCGACTACTGATAATTCGATTATTTTGATTTCGTTAACTAATTACCTGATAATTTCCATCACTAGTGCGAACGTGCGTGATAACCATTTAACTTGGCTTTAACTCATACAGTGACACAATTATATCCACGAGTATCATAGCACTGTATTTAGTTTAATATTTGTTAAACGCTTAATGCCACTCGTAAATATTTTCGAGTAACACGGAATTTATCTTCGTTAACAAATCTACTGTTTATGCAATCGCAGTTCTTAAAATTTCGATAAATTACAAGTTTGATCGCTCAAACCACCCAACTGTCCAAACTGCCTTTAATTTTTTGTTCTATACTTAAAATTGCATTAAATTATTTTCAAGGATTAAAGAAACATTTTTGCTGGCAATAACTTAATACTGGCGTTTTATTTTTATTGTTCGCAAGTCTGTATGCTAAGTTATCGATTCGCATGTATTAAAAATTCAATTTAGATCGGATT